GAATAAAATTTTCTGGGACATGTTGCACATGTCCTACATCACTCTGAACCCGAGTCTTTCACAAATGAAAGATAGTGGTGTGTAGGATAATCGTAAATATGGATAGACTATCTTTAAGTTGACTTTTATAATGACTGATTCATAAATTATTTGTGAGTAGAGATGTTGGAGACATTTTATTGACCCTTTCCTTCCCAGCTATACAGAAGACTAAGACAAGGCCCTTAATAAATGATTGATTGGAAGTAAGCATATAGTGGCAGTTTTTATACTTATGGTCTTGGTTTCTTTAGATTCATTTACACCATTGAGACATTTTTTAGCTAGTCTGCCTACTATGTGAAAAATCGGTTTTAACTAACAGTTTGTGAATTACGTGCTGATTAATTATCATTTAGTGGTTCTGTGGACTAATAGATTTTTCTAGAGTTTGTCTGCTGCTTCTGCCTGTATGTGTTTCTCCATTCTTCAAAACAAAGATGTTTTACTGGTACAGTGTTCATGATTCTCTGTTTGTTTTTGTCTCCATCATTACAGGTTCATGTCAGGGCTGGCCTTTTTCATGGTACCGAACTCCTGTGTAAAACTGTCGTAAGCTCAGAGATATCAGGGAAAAGTGATCATATTTGGAATGAACCACTGGAATTTGATATCAACACTTGTGACCTGCCACGAATGACTCGATTATGTTTTGCTGTTTATGCAGTTTTGGATAAAGTGAAAACTAAGAAATCAACTAAAACCATGAATCCCTCTAAATATCAGACCATCAGGAAATCTGGAAAAGTGGTAGTTATATACTAATTTCTGAAAAAATTTTATAATGAAATAATAATAACATAATGGAATAATTTCAAAATTTTAAAATAATAGGATAATATAAATGAAATTATATCATATAACTTCGGTCCCTAAGAATTGGTTTTTAAAAAGACAGTAAGTCTCCCTTATGTCGTTTTCATTTTTCTTTTGGCAAATTTAGTAAATATCATAAATATAAGTGTTCTATTATAAATGTCTGCTTTTTAGAACATATAGTTAAGAATGAGAAAAGTTAAAATATTACAGGTTAACTGAAACTTCAGGTATTAGATGAATTTAAGAATTCAAAATTTTATGCATTTTAGAAAGATCATAGATCGCTCAACACCCCATGTAGAGTCTGGGGCAACTCAGTAATCAAACACATCAGTTTCTAGAAGTGAAATAAATGAATATTCACACTAAATGAGACAAATGAAGGCTATCAGTTAGCTTCATGTCATTTCTGGTCATGTTTTATTGTCAAATGAGTTACACATGAATCTTTGTTTTTCAAGAGTTTCTTAGACTTTGAAATTGTGGATAAAGGATGGTGAACCTGTTCTCATATCTCATCTTGCATTTCACATTTTCAAGTCGTTTTTGTTTTCTTCTTACTTTATAGAAAGGGTTTTTTTTTTGAGGATGGATATATGAATTTTATACGTTAAAAAATACAGTTACTATATTTATGTACAAGAATTTGTATCCTTTTATTCTTAACATGAGAATGTAAGCATTTCCTCTGGTTATTATCATGTAGTTTTTGAAAAAATGAATATTATTGTTTAAAAGTCAGATAAGAGTTATTTCCTTAGTATTTTTTTTCTCCACTGATACATAATTTTAGTCAAAGTGTTCAAGCATTTATAGCCTTTTGTATACTGTACTGTACGGTATCTGCTTAGTCGTGTACAACTCTTGCGACCCCATAGACTGTAGCCTGCCAGGCTCCTCTGTCCGTGGGATTCTCCAGGCAAGAATACTGGAGTGGGTCGCCATTTCCTGGAACTAGGTTAATTAGTCTAATTGTCTACATAAAATTTCTGTTAGCTTGGTGTTTCCTTTTTAGAAATGTAAATGAATTCTATAATACCTAGAGACATTGCCTTTTGCTCAATTAAGATTTCTGTAGATTGAAAGCTGTTAAAACATATTATCTGACATTATATCAGACATATTTTCTTGAATTATTAAAAATTCCTAATCACTTGCAATGGCTGCACAATAAATGTTCTATTTTTTGGATACTCTATTGTGAGAGACGTTAATTAGCTTTTAGAATTTTCTTAAACCATTATAAAGATGTTGAATATCTTTCCATGTACATCTTGTTTTTATATTGGGTCATTTGGGGGGAAATCATCTAGAACTCTAGAAACAATATTGAAGCAAAAGGTATGTGCCTGTTCATACCTTAAAGTTCATTCTTAGCATATTGATGCAATGGTGTCTTTTTCAACAGCATTATCCTGTAGCCTGGGTAAATACGATGGTTTTTGACTTTAAAGGACAGTTGAGATGTGGAGATATAACATTACACAGCTGGTCTTCATTTCCTGGTAAGATTTACATTCTAATCCTTAGTGTTAAAGAGTAATTTTTGGCACGTGGGGACTAGTTAACATGTTTTTATGACTCACTCTTTTTTCAGTCCGGTAAAGAAACCATCTTTTCATATTTTTATTGTTTATTCTAAAACAGATGTCCCCCAAAATTATTAATATATTTACAAGTGGTTTGTATCTGAATATATTTATTTTGATGATTATTTTCTCACATTAACTGTTTTATTTTTTATAGGTTTCTGAGAAATTCCCCTTAAGAACAGTGTCTTTTTATAAGAACAGTGTCTTTTTATAAGAACCTCTGTTGTTGCTAGTTGTTCTAAACTTCTACACCAGAAGAAACATTAACTAACATAGGAAGGATAGTAAAAATATTTATTCTTTAGTTAGCTTTAGCCTGAAACTTGAGCTTGGAGAGGAGCATCTTCCATACGCCTATATTTCTTAAATAGTACTCCTGTGAGGTAGATGGCTTTATTCCATTTTATGGATGAAAAAGGGAAACTCACTGATAAGTCAGTCAGTCTTATGTAGTTGGTTCAAACCTAGAATTTGTGCAAAAGATTACTTTACTCTTTCCATTGTTCTTATAGCTTTCTCAAATGTTGGAAATTTTTAGTCTTATTTTGTGTTAAAATACTGGCTACCCCCCCCACCCCCACCCCATCCTCATCGTTGGTTAATCTATTTAGTAAAATTGTGAACCTCCTTGCTTTTAAAAATTATTTTGTGGGTGACAAACATTTTTAAATGTTCCATCTTAGTCATTGCTACCTGAGAAACTGTTTTTGGATAATCAGTTATCCACAGACGTATTTATAAACTGCTCACATCCTAGTATTTTATTTGTGTATGTTCTTTTATTCCTACCCTTTGCTGCATACATCTCCATGAATTTTTACTAACCGCGTTATTCCCTAAATATAGACGAGTAGTGTGCATTTACCTATTTCTTAGAGGAGCTGTAGTTTCAGAATAAAAATTGTTCATTTCAGTAGTATACTTTGTTGAAAATTTTAATTTAGACTCACACATGTTCTCCAAAATCAGTAAGTAACTTGACTGATATTTTTAGAAAAATTGACAATTTTTGCAATTAACTTGGCATCCCATGGACCTGAATTTATCTCTAACAAAATGTTAGAGATATTTGTTCTGCTTGTTGTGTTTCTAGAATTCACATTTATCCTTGTAGGTACAAGCTGGAAACACAGGAACTATAAATACTCTAATTTCTAGAGTTCTTAGCTTATCATTAGAAGGTTTATAATCACATTAATTCTTTATATATATAGCAGGAAATACAAACAGCAACTTCTAGTTTTCTCCCTATTTTAAAGCAAAGTAGCATATTTTGTGCAGTGTTCTGTTCTCCATATGTTTGAGTTTGATAATACTAAAATACTACCCTGGACTTTAGATAGGTTGCAATTGATAGGACAAACTGACACTACTATGTAGATTACACAGATAAAGGATATTATTAATTTGCTGAGAAGTCAGCTTTAGAAGTGTGGCAATTATGAGAATTCCTTCAATCTAGGTCAAAATGGAATCTGTGAGATTTGAGAGTATTAAACAATAAGCAAAGGACTGATTAAAGAGCTGAAATTTAAATATTTTGTAAAGATTTTCTAGCTTTGAGAGATAATTCTGAGTTTGCATACAACCTGGACATCAGGTCTGGACGGAATGTAATTTTATCTTTTATTTCCTTACTAAAGTACAAAAGAATGTGCGAAAAATCTGTTATGAGATAAATAGTTTGGAGAGGGGAGACTTTAGTTTGTACTGCTAACTCTGTTTCCTCAGAGTTTCATCTCTTCAACAGTTTACTTCTCTGTGAAGTGAGAAAGTTATATGACCTCCAGAGTTTAAGATAATGTTGAATTTCTGATTACCATGCATTATCTGTGAATGGGCGATACTTAGAGTGATAGAGAAGATGAAGGAGTGTCTTGAAGAAGTACCACTTGGATGGAATGTTTCAGAAACTACCAAAGAAGGTGTTTATATCAGCAGCTTTGAGATCACAGAGAAATATTACCAACATTAGGTTTGTCAAAAGGACTGTCATTGATGACACTCAAAATACCAGTTTGGGTACTATGATGACTATGAAAATCAAAATATATGTTCATATCAGAGCATAAGAAGTTAATGTATAGTGATGAAATAATAAAAATTCCTGTGGACCACCTAATTTTGAGTGAGTGAGAGGAGTTCCAACTTTTTTTATTTGTGGATTGAGAATGCTTGAACAAATTTGAAGAAAGATGTGAGGTAGCTGTTAATTTTTATTAATTTTTTTTTCATTTTAAAGATGCTATGTAAACTGATACTCAAATTTTGTGCCAAGTATTAAGAAAATTAGAGGCTTAGTGATATTGTCTATCACACTTCCATAGGTGACACAGTTGTCATCCCCTGGGCACACACACACACACACACAAATATTTATTTATTAGACTGTGCTGGGTCTTAGTTGTGGCATGAAGGATCTTTAGTTGCAGCATGCAGGATCTTGTTCCCTGACCAGGGATCATACAGGGGCCCTCTGCCCTGGGGAGCTGGGAGTCTTAGCCACTGGACCAACTGAGTGGTCCCAGTGACACACTTTTAAGGTAATTTTCATTATAGAAATCCATTAAGGTTTTGTTTTAGTTTAGTTTTAAAAACATTTTCCTAAGAATCAAAATTATTTATATGTTTTAGATGAACTTGAAGAAATGTTGAATCCCATGGGAACTGTTCAAACAAATCCATATACAGAAAATGCAACAGCTTTGCACATAAAATTCCCAGAGAATAAAAAGCAACCTTATTACTATCCTCCCTTCGATAAGGTAAGCTCATTATTTAAAGGGGCACTATGTATGAAGTAATTCAGTTATTAGTTCTTGGCTCTGTATCTTTATCACTTAAGGTAGATATGTCTGTTCCTCTTTGAAGATATCATATACATTTACAGCTTGGTTCAGTGGAAAGACTACTGAGCCGGAAGCCAGCTCTGTTTAGTACTGGCTTTATCACTGAGCAAGTGAGACATGGCATCTCTGGAGTTCAGATTCCTTATTTATAAAATGAGGAAATCATAATTGTTCTCTGAGATTCTTTCCAATTTAAAAGGGCTATAAATGCATTCATGTATGGCTCTAAACGTGTGAGATATTCAGTGAAACATGCCAGTGTGTTGGTTCAGTTTAAAGATAATCACTAGTGTGATTAGAGTTGGTATTCAAAGAACAGATTATTTATCTTGCATATGATCTTAGTAGGACTTACTTTTGTAAAAACTGCAGTAAGGGCTTCTAACTTTTATGTCTAACTTAATGACTTTTTAATGTATAAGCTGCATGTCTTGGGGATATGGAGAGGGTGTGGTGAAGGTTGAAAATTAGGCTATTATCTTTTACATGCTAAGAGACCTAAGCTGTCATATATTTTATCTTCAGGTTTGGCATCTTTGTTTCAGGTATGACTGATGCTGTGTTTTGTGAGGAAATTTTGATCACATTCTCAGATAATAAATAAGAAGTTTATTTTATTTACTTAAGTCATTTGAGTCCAAACTGCCTTTAAACATTTATGTTGTAGTACAATTTCAATTAATATATTGTACACCTAATTGTATTTTAACATTCTGTACCACTGAATAATTCTTCCTTTACTTTCATTTTAATTGAATTTTATCCACGTAGACGTAATTTTTCATTTTCTTCTAGAATCTTTTTCTGTTCAGTAATATACAACTAAATTAAAATTTGTGACTATTACAATAGAAATCTCAAATATGTCGAGAACCATATACTTTAATGTACACTATGTAGAAGATACATTTTGATGCATCCATTACATTTATTCTGTGGCTTTATTCAAGTATTTTCAATCGAATATTTTTAAGAGAAGTCCAGTTTTTTGACATGTTCTATTTCAGCATTGTTGTCAACAGAATCACCTACACCTGGTCATTAAACTTTATTTTTGCCTGTTTGATCCCCTTGGAAAGTCTGTCTTTGAAGATCTACGTAGGATGCAAAGTTTAGTCTGTAAATGTGTTTAATATATTTTTTAGTTTTCTTTTAATTGTACAATTGCACGTATGATTTAAAAAACAATGCATATATAAAGTGAAAATTTCTTATGTTTTTATTTAATGTTTTCTGCTTTACCCACTTGTATACATTTTACTGTTCATATTACTTTTATGATTATTGCTTAATATTAATAACTATGATATAATTTTATCACATTAACAACCTTATGAAATAGGATGGCAATTACCCGTACACTTTATACATATGGATACAATTAAATCATTTGCAGAGAATTAGTTAACTCAGTAACTGGATATGGGTCTTCAGGTTTTTTTACCTGCTGAGCCTTTCTAGTAGACCAGTGGGTTCCCCATCTTTTCAAGAATCAGAGCCTCTTTTGAACTTACTAAATTCAGAAAATATTTTAAGATTTTCTCTTGATATTACTTCTGCTTTTTTTATCTGCTAATTCAGAAGAAAATCTTGCCCAACTCTTTGTGACAACATGGACTGTAGCCTACCAGGGTCCTGTGTTCATGGAAATCTCCAGGGAAGAACACTGGAGTGGGTTGCCATTTCCTTCTCCAACTATTACATACTTTTGCATTTTCTTAACCAGAAAATATTTACCTATATTAAAAATTTGTTCATATATACTAGCCACTGCTTGTTTTATCTATAGAGAATCCTAGTATACTCTGGGAGTCAATAGTCCTTTATAGTAAAGAGTTTCTTAAGTGTTTGAGGATTGGGAATTACAGAATAATACCACTTTGCATTTAAAATTCATGCTTACATTATAAACCATAGAAATGCCATATCATATGTAGCTCCTGTACATGTGGATGTATAAGTCTGTGTACAAGTCTAGACATTTACACCTATAATTTTACAAATACAAGAGCCAAATTTTAATTTTTTCAATTTTTTAAAACAGATTATTGAAAAAGCAGCTGAGATTGCAAGCAGTGATAGTGCTAATGTATCGGTAAGTATCAAGGTTTTAAAATAGCCTTATGTTACAAAGTTGTGCTTTTTATTAGTCACTTTCATGTCATTTACAGTAATGGACTCATGGAAGACCATACTCATATGCAAGAATAGTCTGAATGTGTGTGAGTATGTACATGCTAATATTTTGTTAAATGGCAGCTGTTTCTGGTTGGTCTGTGTTTAGTTAGTAAGCACTTTTCTGGTTCAAGCATAGGTTCAGCAGCTGATCTGTGAGGGATGCGCCGACACTTCATAAATTAACGATACCATGTTTTAAATGTTACTTAGTTGAATGAGGACGTTATGTTTTCTTAACTTCTCTGACATAATAGAGCAGGTATATTTAAGGCAGGTTTTGCAGTGCTGGGGACCCAGATTTCTTGCATCTTGGTAATCTTTCATGTCAATATGTAGTTTTTATCTCATTTAATATTGGTGCTTCAGCTTTCTACATTACTACCTTCCAGCCTGCAGGAACAGGAAAAGTTAGACTAGAGACCTAATGATAAGTGAGACAGAAATGTTGTCCTTGGCTGGCAGTCATGTACTTGGCTAAGAGTAAGAGATTATAGTTAATAAAGCAAGAAGGGGACAGTGCATATTGACAGACAAATAGCAGTCTGCTACACACACCATACCCATTGTTTCTGCCCAGACTTCAAATTAGATTACTTTGTTTATTTTGTTTACAATATGTGTAATATTTCTACCATCTATATTTTTAATAATAACTTTTTTGCTTTGACCTGAAGACTTTTCTGAGTTTTTATCTGATATTTTCTTTTCATGTCATCAGTTTATAATTTTCAAATGACTATAATAATGACACTCTACATGGAATGGTCATTAGTTAGAAGCCAGGAGACAAATGGAGATAACATATATCCTTTTATTATTTGTACAGAATGAATGCAATATTTAATGTTGTAGTTAGAGAAACGTCTGGCCCAGGCTGTCTTCTTCGTTTCTTCTTCTTTTTTTTTTTTTCTTTAATTAAGAAATTTTTTAAGATTGTTGTTTAATTGCTTTTTAAATTTTGTTTGCCCTGGGTCTTCCTTTTTATGCACAGCCTTTCTCTAGTTGCAGTGAGCAGGGGCTACTCTGTAGTTGCAGCACATGTGTTTCTCACTATTGTGGAACAGGGGCTATAGGGTGTATGGGCATCAATAGTTCTACTTGTGGGCTCTAGAGCCTGGGCTTATTAGTGGTGATACATGGGCTTAGTTGCTCCGTGCTATGTGGATTCTACCTAGACCAGGGATTGGAACCTGTATCGCCTGTGTTGGTAGGCATATTCTTAACCACTGGACTACCAAGGAAGCCCCCCTTTTTTTTTTCCAAGTGAAAACAGGTATTTTATTACAGCGTCTAGAGATGGATATGCAGTGCAGTGGGGTTCCCTTGGGAAGCAAGGGGAGTTGGCGCCCCAACTGAAACACAGGCTACCGAAACGACAAAGCAAAGCCCATCTGCATGACAAACCAAGGTGTGACAGAGCGAGCGTGGATGGATGTGTGAGTGAGAACAAACAGTCCTACAGTGGACAGGCAGGATAAATAATGGGGGAATCTTAAATAGATCACGATTTGACTTGTAGCTAAATGGAGGGCTGTGTCCCCTGACCAGAGGGTGTCTTCATTGTTAGGGTTTCCTGAGCAAAGCGACCGTAGCCATCGGACTTCCTGGAGTGGAGCGGAGCGCCCGGGTCAACAGCAGCAGCGGGGCTCCTCCCCACGCCCAACACCCTGGCGCCCCCTCCTTCCTGTGGCAGCGGCACCCAGGCCCAGGCAAGGGGCTGGGGCCGGATGGTGGGTGTGGAGAGGCCAAGCTGGCCCCGCTGTGGGGCAGGCCTTGTGCACGTGTCTGTCCCTGTAGCTTGGAGGGCAGACAAGGCATGGTGGCCCGCAGGCCATGCAGTGTTTGTGTACAGTGTCATTTGTTCAGATGGGGCTCCTTAGGCAGCCCCGCAGCTTTCTGTTGGGGGTGGGGAGCCTCTTGAAGAGGGGTGGGGGCAGGGGGCAGGACAGCACCATCACACACCCACCAGGAGCACCGACCTGGGGTGGAGGGGGCAGGGCAGGGCCGGTGGTCACAGGAGGAGGGCTCCATCTCCAGCTTCAACTGCTGCTCTGAGCAGTGCAGAGGTGGCCAGAGGTGGGACACTGTCCTGCTCTGACCCTGTGGCCTGTATCTCGCGGGGCCTCCACCTGCCAGAAAGGCTGGCTCCAGACTCACCCCAGGAATGAGGAGGCGGGCTGGGGCTCGGCTACCATACTGATCCTCAGGGACAGCAGAGGGCCCCACTCTGCAGGGGTGGGTGGTGGCCAGGCTGGGGAAGGCTCAGGTTAGATCCCTATGTGGAGGCCCACCTCCTGCTCTCCTTGGGGGGTGCCACCTGGTGGTGGGGGCGGTGAGCACCTGAGGACAGGGCTCTGAATGCCCACCTTGGGGTCTGGGCCCCCTGCCAGCACCTTTGGCCAACACTGGCCCTTCCAGGGAGGCACACAGACAACACCGCTGCACCAAGGACCCAGCACAGTCACAGATGCTGTGCAGAGGACGGAGAGCCCCACCCACCACCGCGGAGCCTCAGGGACCAGCCCTCCTGCCCTGCCACCCCACCACATCCCCCCGCAGCACTACTGTGGCTGCTGGGGGCGGGGGTGCGGGGGGAGAGTGTCACTCCAGCTGCGGGGTGGTGGGTGGGTGGGCCAGCTGTGCCCTGGGCCAGCACCTCTGTGCACTTGAATAAACAGCAAGGTTTCCCCTCACTTTTCTTTCTTCCTTTTTCTTTTTAGTTTACTGTGTATTCATCATACAGTCTAAAAATAAATGAAGTCAAGTCTATGAAATTTATAAATTTTCATCACATCTCTATAAAATACTGTCACCCGTCAGCGTGACTCCCCTGTAGACACACCAGGCACCCACGACTAACCACCCGCGTCCCCAGCTACCACTGGCGCTGACCCTCCCTGGGCAGCCGTGGCACGGGACCGGACGAGCAGAGACGTACAAAAGTAAATGCACTTGTCACACGGCGGGTTCCAGACCCTCCTCGCGAGCACCACTCAAACGGGTCCCCTCATTGAGGCACCCCGCTGCAGCCTGGCCGCGCGGCCACCATTCCTATGCCAAAGGCGTGATGTGGACCCAGGAGCCGAGCGAGGCCGTTCACAGTGCGAGGCGGGGCGGGCCTCCACCCGGAGCTGGGGCCTTTGGTATAGGAAGAGCGTTAGATAAACAGGGCGGGCACAGGGCCTGGCGTCGGCATTGGTCAACCCCGAGAGTCAGCACCAAGAGCGTGGAGGCCGGCCTGCGACGAGATAGCACCGGGCGGCTGGCGGTCCCCGCGGCGGCCAGTCCTCGGGCGGATGGACGTCTTTACATAGATCCTTTCACATATAGTATCTACATCTCTCAATAGGTTGCCTTTACGGCTTCGGTGGAATAAAATAAGTCAAAGTTGTTTATACTTTTTAAAAAACGATAAATACTTTATCTAAAACTATGGACAGTACAGGCTGGAGCTGGGCCCCAGCGAGCCGTCTCCGCAGGTCTGCGCGGCGCTGATTCACAGTAGAGCCTGTTCTCTGGCCTCCATCCGTCCTCGCCGCCCTGTGGGGGGCCCCACGCCGCCGGCCCAACCCGCACTTGCATAGTCTCGCGGTTGAGGTAGAAATCCTAGTTACCTGCGGACACACGTGGGAAGAAAGGCGGCACAGCGTTAGCCCCTCGCCCATACGGCCCGGCGCTGCCCCAAGTGAGGAGCCAGAGCCGCTGACGGACAGACGGACCGACAGACGACGCACGTGGTGGCCGTAGGACCCTGAGCCACACCCTAGGCCTGTCCCCAGGTCCCCTTTCGGGCAGTGCTCCCAGAGGCCTGTGAACAGCCTGGCAATAAGCCTACGTGCCCCTGGGAGAGACTGGCCCAGGCAGCAGGGGAAGCAGTGTCCACCATGGGCCTGACCTGGCCTCCCATGTGCTCAGCTGCCCTCTCTAGCTCCTCTGATGGCTGGCGGCCTCTGTACACTGAGCAGCCCCACCTTCTGGGTTTTTCCAACTACCAAGGCACAGCCCCGGCCCTAGGCCTCAAGTAAGGCTGTCTGCAGACCCTGACCAGGAGGCTGTAGGACTCCAGCGGCTGCCCATTCGTTTCCACTTAAACACACGACACACAGCTGAGGACATAGGCAGATCCTGAGCCCAGCCCTGAAGCCCGTTTCTCCTCCAGACTTCACCCCGGGGATGTGGGTGCGGCACTGGGAGTGGCCGGGCCTCAGTCATAGGACAGAACACTGCCCACCTGCTGGGCCTTCCTTCCTGTGGCTGGTGCCACATTCACCCTGCCGCCCCTAGGCCCCCGCGGCAGGCCCTTTAGCTAAGGAGCCCACCAGATGACCATGCTCTGAAGGCCTGCAGTGCACCAGGGTCCTTAAATGCATTGAGTTTTCTTAAAACCCTATGAGGTGCATTCAGGCACTGGGAAGCCCTTTTTAAATTAAGGTACAATTTTTTTACAGTATTTCAGGTATACAGCAGAGTGATTCAGTTTTATATATATGTTTTAGATTCTTTTCCATTATTGATTATTACAAGATACTGAATAGAGTTCCCTTTGCTATTCAATAGATCTTTATTTTCTGTTTTATATATAGTTGTGTGTATCTGTTAATTCCAAGCTCCCAATTTATTCCCCTTAACTTTCTACTTCGGTAACTGTAAAGTTTGTTTTTTGTGTTGGTATCTATTTCTGTTTTGTAGATAACGTACTTCAGTTAGTATGATAATCTCTAGGTTCATTCCTTTTGCTGTAAGTGGCAATATTTCATTCTGTTTTTAAGTTTTATTTTATTAAATATAGCTGATGTACAATATTGTGATAATTTCTACTTTATAGCAAAGTGATTCAGTTATACATATATGTACATATTCTTTTCCATTATGTTTTATCACAGGATATTGAATATAGTTCCATGTGCTATACAGTAG